TCATACTTTTTTTTTCACATTTTATTGATTCACTAAAGATCTTAATTAATTTAAAGACTTTCAATAGCAAGTACAGCTGAAATATACATATTTATGAACACGTATCTGACTTTAGGTATAAACCTCTGTGAGTAAAGTGAACATACTATAAAGTAGCATCTAGTTGGGCCTATATAGCCTACTGCAGTCATTAAATAGATATTAATAGGTATTTTAATGCATTTTTAAATTTAGAAAACAAAGTTTAGTTTTAATAGATCAAAATAAAAAAATGTTAAGAGAAATTTGCTTAAAACTTAAAGCCAGGAAATAGGTTAGGTTTCAGTTCAAATAGAAGGTAGATGAACCTATCAACAGTTCAAGAGAAGACAAAAATTCTTAAATATGGAAATTAAAGCATCAAAGGAAATCAGTAATGATTTAGTCTAAAGTAAAAAAGTTCTATTTCACAAGTTCAGACTCACATAACTAATCTCTTTTCTATTGAATTTGCAGTGTTACTGTGGTCTGAAGGCTGTAATACAGGAAATCAAAACTTCCCTTGAAAATATCAAAAGCAGATTGTATCATCCAGAAGACTGAATCTTAGATGTAGAACATAGAACACCTGACCTAGAAAAATTCACCAAAAATACTGAGAAAATAACCCCCCAAAATGAGAATAACATATGAGTTATACTAGATACCATTAAACACCCAAACATCCAGATCATCAGTATCCCAGAAAGTGAAGAAACTAATAAGGGTATTGATAATCTATTCCATGAAATCCTGGAAAAAAACTTTCTAAACCTAGAAAGGCACTCAAATATTCAGACCCAAGAAATACAAAGGACCACACATAGAATTGACCCAAGAAAATCTTCCCCAAGGCACATCATAGCCAGATTGACCAAAAACCACAGACAGAGACAAGATACTAAAATTGGCAAGTGGGAAATGTCAAGTTACTTTCAAAGGAAATCCCATAAGGCTAATGTTGAATCTCTCATCGGAAATAATGTGAGAAAGGAAAGAATGGGAAAATATATTCAAAGTATTAAGTGAAAAACAATTTCAACCAAGAATACTATACCCAGTAAGATTATCTTTCAAATAGGAAAAAAAAAAAAAAAAGACAAAACCATTCTCAGATAAACGAAACCTGAAAGAATTTACCAACACCAGACAAGCTCTCCAAGAATTGCTGAAGGGAGTGTTGTACCACGAAAACTAAAGTCAGACACACAGAAATAAGAGTACAAGGCATAAGGAAGAGAATAACCAGCCTAATGGTAGGGACTGGCCTGGAGTTGAATGTTAACTTCCAGAGTTTAAATGGAATAATGCGATTTGAGTAAGGCTTGCTTGAAGGAAGAAGTAAATTCCCAGGGAATCCTTAACCCTCATGCCCAGTCTGGGTGACTATTTTTCAGCATAAATTTATTTAATTTTTTAGAGGGTTCTGCTATAGGGCATGTGTGCTCGCCAGAAAGACAGAGAGGCATAGAGACAGAAAGCAAGAAATCACCCCCCATGGGGATGGCCATGATGCAATTCCTTCTCTTCTGTTCTCCTCTCAGGATCTTGGGCACACATGCACACATGCCCAGCATGAGTTTAAGCCACCGGTCTAGGACTCTAACTGCAGTCGACTACATGGGAGTCCAGCGACATAGCCATTACACCAACTGCTGGTCTCCAGCACAAATCTTAAAAGAGGTAATAGTGACAGTGTGAAAACAAAATGTCTATTGCTTTTATTGTTTTAACCAATATCATCATTATTAACTACCACTTAATTATGCTCATTGTAGGCTCTGTTTTAGCCAAACAGCCAAATTAAACAATAGAGCTGACACAGACATGGACTGAATAATGCAGTGGATAATAGATACATTAAATATATAAGAACAACAAAGTAAATATTAGTAGTTACTAGACAAACACAGGGTAGCTAAAAGCCAATTAATTATGAATAGTGATGGGGGTACTAAAATGAAAAGTGAACCCAAAGGCAAAGATTTAAGAGTTTTCATCCCAGTTATCCGCCTAATGGTCTATGTCTCTCTGGGAGGTCACTTATCTTCTCTGAGCCTTTGGGCCATTGCGCATTCTACATTCTAAGATGGTGAGACATTCATATCACATATTCAGCATTCTCTGCTGGCTCTTTTTCTTTACATCAACTATATTTTGCCTTTAAAAGTTTTTTAATAATCAACTCCGATTCCAGACTCGTGCAAGTGAGGTTTAGCTCTTTCTCTGTTTCCTCAATAAGAGTTATGATATTCTTACTTTTGAGTAATCCCTTGATTTTAGGGTTATGATTGCTGTTAAATTACAAAGATTCCTGGACATATGCATGTTTTAAAAAATAGACATTTACACGTTAGTATAATTACAAAGGGGAAAGACAAGCAAGCCTCATCTTATATTCCCCAGATATCCTGTGGCAGACTAGCTATCTCCCAATACTCTTCCCATCTTCCTTTATAACAGAAGTCCCAAGTTTTGGCAGGACACAGACTCACCCAGGGTAAAGATGAAATTTCCCAGCTTCCTATTGGAGCGGGTATGTTCGTAAGATTAAGTTCTCTAGACCGGGATATGAGAGCAGTGGTGTACATAAAGGAATGGAAGGATACCCTTCCTCATCCTTTCCTCCTTCCCTGCCTGGAAAGCACAAGTAAGAGCTGGAGCTCCAACAATCACTTTGTGATCTTGGGAAGGAATTTCATAAATGATGGCCTGATTCTGGACAAAGCTGAAGTGTTTTTCCTCTGACTTTAGGGAGATAGTCAACTCCTTTCCATTTTATGTTTATGTAGCTGACTTCTGACTAGCTTCTTTTCCTCCCTGCACTCACTGAAAGACTCAGCTAAAGCACCATGACAGGACAGAACTAAATTCACCACACCCTTTTACAATTCTAGCTTTTTAAACTCATTTTTCATAGTCTGACTTTCAAATAGAAGATGTACTTTAAAAAATGAGGATGTAGGGGCCAGCAGGTGGTGTGGAGGCTAAGGTGCTAGGTCCCACATGGCCAACTGTGCAGTTCAAATCCCAGACTTGGTGGCTTGGAAATTATGTCTGGTGCATACACATGCGTGTGTGCCCAAGATCCTGAAAGGAGAATAGAGAAGAGATTGCAGCATGATCAGCGCCTCTGGGGTGTTATTTCTTACTTTCTCTCTTTCTCTTTGTCTCCCTCTCTGTCGCTGGTGAGCACATGTGACCTATAGAAAAAAAAAAAGAGATGTGCATCGTTTTAGTAAAATATTAAGAAGAAAAAGACTTCCCAAGAAAAGGTAAGTTTGTAAGTTAAATATTTGTAATATTTAAATATATTCTATATCAGTTTCATTAATTATGAGAATTTTGGAAGGTAATGAGATTAAAAACATGCAGAAAAGTGTTCTGAAGAAAGGTGGGCTATAAGTAGCTGTGCAGTGTTACTAAATGCCAAATAACTCTATGTGTGTGTCAGTGTTTTTCTGTTGGTATTCACCTTAAAAAAACAGAGAGATGCACCTATAGATACATGCTTTAAAACTATCTAGAAGTCTTATTTCTAACAATCTGTTACTATAATATATTGACATTGGATTCTCTTTTTTCTTTTAATTTTGTTATTAGCTCATTTAAATGAAAGCTCTCTATCACATAATCCTCAACTGTGAGGGGTTTTATAGTGTTTTAGATACTTAAGAAAACTTCTTACCTGGGTAATAGTGCATTATATCCTCACTAATTGCAATATTAGAAAAGAAATCTTATATTTCTTTTACAAATTAAAATTAACGGGACTATTAAATATAGCAGGTTCCTAACACATGACTGTTCCATCATTGGGTCCATACTGTGAAATTCTGAGGTGTGTACCTTTGAAGAAGTCCTACTTATAGATTATTTGAAAGTAGTATTTTTCAAATAAGGCACAGAAACTATTGGCATCAAAATTTGTTTTAAATGCCAATTTTCGGACTTCCCATCAGATCTAGTGAGTCAGGATCTCTATTCATGGCTTGAGGATACGAATTTTTAAGTCTCTCTCCCAGGAGATTTTCAAGTGCATTTAAGTTTTAGAACCTGTGTTCTACTGCTTTGAACTTCCACATTTAAGTTTCAGAACCTACATTCCACTGCTTTGAATTTCTAGTGCCAGGAAGTTAAGAACAGGTTCAAATGATTCCTTCCATGCCTCTATGCAAAAATCACGATCAAGTTATTCCTTTTCCACTCTGCCCTCAATATAAAATTTTGAGCTCATGGCCAAGACAAGGAGTCATAGCTGGGTGATCAGCTTTTACTCTCTCTCTTTTTTTTTTTTTTTTTTTTTTTTTTTTTTTTGAGAGTTTTCTTGATATAGGGAGCTTGAGTTCGCCAGGCAGAGAATGAGCGAAAAAATCACCCCCCGGGGGGTGGGGTGGGGGGGATGGCCACGCCGCAATTCCTTTTCCTTCGTTCTCCTCTTGGGATCTTGGGCACGCAAGCACACGCACCCGGCGTGAGTTTTAAGACACCGGGTAAGGACGCGAACCGTGGTCGACTACATGGGAGTCCAGCGACATAGCCACTACGCTATCTGCTGGTCTCATCAGCTTTTACTCTTAAGGAGAGAGGGTTGTCTCTAAATAGCACAGAGGACAAGGATAGCCGTACATATTATTTAACTGACTAATAAGTGTAAGAAAACTACAGTTGGGAGATTTCAAAACCATTTTGTGAACTAGGCTGGGAGGAGACGATTGTAATGTAAGGAATGACTCTCAGTTAAAGAAAGGACAGGATAACTTAATAGAGGTCCCTCGTCTCATTCTGTGACGATGCTTCTGGGCTCCGGTGATGAATGTGTTCATTTCATGTGGCTTGCTTTGGGTAAATAACCCAGTGCCCTATCAGCTCTGCAGCCGGCGGCCAGCCAAGGCTGTGTGCGCGCTAATGACAGCGGAAGGTGCCTGGGGGAGGGTCAGGGAGGGGCTGCCCGGCGCGATCGCGCCCCTGGCACTTCAGAAGAGACTCAGTCCTTTTCGTTACAGCTGCCGCTGGAAGGCTCCACGCTTCTCCTCCTGAGGAAAGGAGCCATCCATCTAAATCGGCTGTTCTCTCCACGTCCCTCGTTTTTTTCTCTGCTAGCGGCCACGGATACCGCTTCCATTGTGTTGTCCCTTTTCAGTTTAGCCAGGCATTCTGCGTAAAACCCTAATCTCGTTTGTAGCCGGAGGACTTACCCTGAGAATTTCCGAACCTCGAGTTGCAATGGAGCTGTACGGAAAGGTAAGCAGGCGAGGGGAGTTTCTTGGTGTTCTCAGAGCAAAATCTCACTTTCATGGACTTTGAGGACTCTGTGTGTGTGTGTGTGTGTGTCGCGTGCATCCTTTTTTAATGCAATTATGCGGGCGAGCCACTTTCCTTGTGTGTGTGCCTTTCATTGTCTTCCCCACGTTTGTTGAATGAGATTGTACTATCACTCCACTCAACTCAAGGAAATGTATAAACTTTCTAGATTCGGGGTAGAGCCAAGAGTCTCAGAACGCAGCTCGGGCTTCCAATTGTATTGGGAATTGCCCCAAGGTAGTGTTTCCTAAACCGGAAATCAGTAACTGCTCCCGACAGCGATAGCACGGAAAAATCTCCAGCTGAGACTGGCTGGGGTCACTTTCCCCTGCGCCTTACTAGGAAAGAGGCAGGAAAGCATAGAGAGCTAACAGCCAGAAGCGATTCGGAAAGAAGAAACGGGAGGCTCCGCGGCCAAAGGGGACTGGAGGAGCGGGCCAGTTGAAGCACTTGCGTCCTTGCTGGGAGTTGTAGTTCATTACTTAACCCGTTTGCCTGGAAGCCCCGTAGGATGAGACTACAACTCCCAGGAGCGCCCGCGGCGCCTGGCCAGTACGCGTGTGCGGCGTCACGAGAGGACAGCTCCGGTGCTGATGTTGGAGCCGGTTAGCGCTCCCTGAGAGTGCTGTGTGGAGCGTGGAGCGCGCCGGCTGTGCACGCTTGACCAGGCGCCCGGGCCAGCGCTGTCCTAGCCAGAGAGAAAGGACATTTGCCAACAATGAGACACGAAGCGCCCATGCAGGTGGGTCTATAAAGAAAGAGTGATCTGGGAGGAATTGAGAAACCTCTTCTCCCCCTCATTCTGGGCACGAACTGTGCCCGACCCAAGGGAAGGTCCAGGCGACCAGTCTTGGAGGTGCGACTCTGTGACTCGGTCTAGGCACTCAGTTGGTTCCTCTACGCCTTGGGTGGCTGTGATTGGGGTGTCTTTATGAGGGGCAGGGGTATTATCTTCCGTCTCTATGAGGAGGGCGAGAGTGTCTGCCTGAAATGAAAACCCGGGCAAACAAAAGTCAGAGGAACAAACAGGCAGTCTCCTGTTGGCATTGATCTTTCCTCTTGGCATTCCT